TTTTTTGGTTCTTTTTGTATTTACCATTACCATTTTGTCCTCAAATTGAATAAAAATCTTAAACCCTATCAATTTCATTTTTCGTTTCCGTCTTCAAAGTATGAGAACTCGAAATGAACATTTGTAATAAGGTATGATTTAACTAAATTAAATATTGGTACTTTCTTTTAAATGTTTTTTTGTTAATAAGGTATTCAAAAAAATATTTTGGGGGGTGGCAGCCCACCCTTCATCTCTATATCTTCAATTTTGGGACCCCCCAACTTCAAACGACTGGCTCCGCCCCTGGTTGTATGTATGTGCGATGAAATGTGCAAGTAGAAAATGGGGTGTGGAACCTGCACACCTGATCAATATTCAATGTTAATATTAATGTATATTGTTTTACGATGCTACAGGTAGAATGAATCAGGTTCCAAACAATACTTGTCCACTACATTCTAATTGGATAGACGATACACTAAGTGAGTTCATGATGTTAATGTTAAGCTTTTAAAGAAATTGAAGAAAAAGGAAAGTACATATTGAGAAATGCTTTTTATTTTAAAGAAATTCATATACATGATGTTTGCTTACTCAACATTAGCTCATTCCACATAATCTTTCACTATTTTTTTAGATGATGAAGACAAGATTATTCGAGATAACGACCAATGGTGAGATGGACCCAATACTAATATAATTTAAATATTGATTTTGTTTTGAAATAAAGTTAAGTTTTTTTTTATTAAGTACAAATTATTTTCATAAATGAAGTCATTACCAATTATGTTAAAGAGAAATCTATCATTTTCTGCATTTATGATTTTAATAGAAAATTCAAATGATAATACTTTCAATTCTAGAATATCTAGATTTGAGGAGTTACAAATTAAATATTTTTTTAATAATTATGTATACCCAAGAAATTATAATTATGATTAATTTCTAAATTCTTCATCACTAAGTCTACCAATTCATATATTTTCAAATTCTCTTTTTACCGGGTAGCATTTGAGTTTATGGACAGCTTCTAAACAACCAATCCATTTCAGAGCCAACACCACACATATTTAGCTTGGATGTCCCATTTGAGTTGAGCATATAGACAATAATTGTTGGTACATATTCATTTCATTCCTAGAGTGTCGTTTTTTTCTATCATTTAATTAGCAACATGTTATAGTTAGCCTTGGCGTGGATTTAGCATCTAGCTTAATCTCTCACCGGCGTACGAATTGTTTCAGATCCACGACGGTGACTCGAAGTGGATCGTTTGAAGTGAGGATTGTTTTCTTCATAGAAGTTTGATTTTGAGGAAGAATGTATTTCCTCGGTGTATCTTATCTGATTTAAAGGGAATCAATTTTCATTTCGATTTTGCCCTATTTTTCATCGAAAAGATGAGAAGAAGAGACAAGTTTTAAAGTCCATTTGATTGCAAATGTGGAAAATAGGTAGATGACGTAGAACGAAAGTAAAAGATTTACCAGCGTAAATCTTGAAAATAAGAAAACTGGAATTTTTAAGAAAGAAACTTGTATGCCATTAGTAATTATGCCGAAAACGTTCAAAAGTTTTTAAATAGGCGTTACAAGAAACCTTTTTTCTTTGAACAAGGTTTTTCCCTGTTGGGTTTTCCAAAAAGTATTTTTAATGAGACAACTTTGTAGCGTATTCAAAGAAATAATGTATTCTTTTCCCTTCATTAGGATTTTTTCCACATATTTTTTCCTAATAAGGTTTTAACAAGGTATATTCCTTTTATATTGAATGTCCATAAACTATTGAATATTTATGCACAATATAATCTTATGCTTTTACTCTTATATGTTATAAATAGTATATAAGACTCCCGAAGCGAGTATCAACAAAATCAGTTTTTCAAGGGAACATCATTTTGACTATGTTTGGTTGTTGGTGTAAGAGATTAGTATTTTGAAAAATTAATATAAACAAATAAATGCATCCCAGTTGTTTATTTTTGTATTATTAATTTGATTCTTTTGTTCAACGGAAAAGTCATAATATTTGAGATTGTCTAATATTTCAATGTCAACTATGTTGACATTTTTGTTTTATAAACCCTACAAGTTGTCATTTTAACTTTCCAATCCTTCTCCTTATCAAATGGAATCTACTGCAATGTTGACTAGAAAGCTCGACGACCTAAAAAATATCCCATGTCTCTTCCTTGCGCACCACTATTCAAGCAGAAGCAGAGACGTTCTATTCTATTTGGTCAGTGGATAGGTCGACATTTCTCAAGCTTCCTTCTTTTGTGAAACACGAAGTTCCTTCTACTCTGGTGAATGGACCAAACTTCATTGAACAAGTTCCAAAATAAACTAAAACTGACACTTCGAAAATTTCTGAACTGATAATTAATCTATAATTCCTATACTTTGTATAATTAAATGATTTTTGAATGAAAACTGTAAGTGTTAATTAATAGAAGATTGATGATACAAATGTAATTAAAAAAAAAAGTCGAAAACATAAGTATGACAATAAAATGCAAGGGAATATATCGGAGAATGCTTTTGATTGTTAGTAAGATATGGCTTTGTTGAACTTGAGAAACCATAATAAATTTACTTATTATCCTTCAAATAGCGAGATTACATGAAGTGTAGTTTTTGAGTTTCTACAATTTTCTACATTACTTATTATCCTTCAAATAGCGAGATTACATGCTTTTGATTGTTAGTAAGATATGGTCTCTTGATTCTTTTTGTTCTTGTCAGTGAAACTAAGAAAAATAAGTAGACCGGATTTTTAAAAAAAAAAAATCAAAAAAAGGTTATAAATAAAGTAATAAAGTGAACTTAAGAGTTCGGATGATCAATACTTAGTTTCACCCAAGCTTCATCTCCGTCATGGATAGATCACCCAAGTTCGGATCCATAAGCATTGACAATTATTTCGTCTTTGGTTTACTGTTCCTAACTTCAATTCAATTAACTGTGAATTATTGTTTCCCAAGGACTACTATTTAACTGTGAATTTAATTATGCCTAACTTGAATTCATTAATTAAATCTACAATATCGTGAACAGGCAAATTTTGATTACAATTAATTAAGTGTGCTTGGTCGAATTCTTTTCGGTTAATTAATTTATATCGCTCGAATTCAAACCAAATTTACTCAATTAAATTAACTCACTATATCTCTACATGAATCACAATAAGTATTAATCAAAAGAATTCAATCACTAAATAACACAATTAATTACTGTAATAATTTCAAAAGTGTATATCTACCGTTTATCTAAATTTCATTTTTTACTAAATGGTCAAAATAAATTAACGATTCACATATCTATGAATTAACGATTAAGTAATTTAAAGCATCGAGAGAAGAAGTAAAAATAATTCACAAACTTCAATTAACAACCTTGAAAACCTAATTTCTTGAATTATTCCCTTGATTTTTCTATCTAATTCTAACGTTTTGAAATCTTTCTCTTCTCCTCTTTTGTGACCAAGCAAGATCTATTTATAGTGGTCGAGGTGTTTTGGGAGTTGGACTTAACTCAAAATCATGAAGAAAATCCAAAGATTTTTTTTTTTTTTTTTTTAAAAAAAGCCATAAATTAACCCTAACCGGCCGGGTTAGATCTTGAACCGCAGCAAACAAGGTATCTCGCTGGACCGTAGTTCACTGCAGTCAACCTTTTTTTTGTCTTTTCAAACTAGTTCAAGTTGGTCCCCAATTCACCTTTTTAGTACAGCCTTCGACGGTCATTCAAGTTTTTCGTCCACTTTTGATCCTTTTTCATGCTAAACTTCAATTTTATTATTGAAACTTTCAAAATCTTCTAAATTTGCTCCCCAAAACTTCATAATAACTTCATAATCATTCCAAATTGGCCCTCCAAAATGAGCACTTTCGTCCACCAAACTTTTCCAAAGTTGAATTTCATCCCAAATCTTGCAATTTTCTTCTAATAGCTCTCTTTCACTTTTAGTCACTCTCGTGTCCAATTAATCTTTAATTGCTCTGAACCAACTTTTAATTTTCTCAAAATTGCCCCTTTCACACCTCTTGCATCGAACTCCAAGTTTTTCTACAATTAACAAAATTACATTAAATTAGGTAGAAATCTGCTCAATTAGATAATTATCACATTTAAAAGCACAAATCATTCGTCTTTGGTATTTTGTTGGATATCTTGAGTTTTAAGAAGTTTTCTGCAAGAATAAATGTAATTTGTCCCATGATGACTTGAAAAGAAGAAGAATTTAATTGTATGCAGTGGCCTTCAATTCTTCCACCTCAATCTTGAAAGAATGATGTCATGTAGTACCACTAGCGCTACGAAAAAAAAATCCTAGGTGATACTCTACCCACGGTTTTTCCCGTTTAGGATTTCCACTTAACTTGTGTATGCTTAAGGAATTGGTTTGGTTTGGGAGGTGGCGATTTCGGAGGATGCTGCGGGTGTTACGGAGGAGCCGGAGAGGCACCAGGGTTTGGACAAGAACTTTGGGTATAATAAAAATTTTGGGGCCAAGTATGAGCTCGGGAAAGAGGTGGGCCGAGGCCATTTTGGTCACACTTGCTATGCCAAGGGCCGAAAGGGAGAGCTCAAGGACCTGCCTCTTGCCGTCAAAATCATCTCCAAATCTAAGGTCTTTCCGTGCTACACTTTGTAATGGAAATTTTATTTCTCAGTATTCTATACACAGACAAAATAGGATGTACATACATACTAGGATTGTGTGTGGTGGACATGTAAGGCGAGCAGCAGTTGCTAAATTCGGGTATAGTAAAAGAAAGGTGGAAGAAATTTCTATTTAGGATTGAAATGTAGTGTCCAGAAGGTGGTTTAGTTAGCAATGTTGCAAGGAAAGGTGCTCTCTTTAGATATCTTTGTTAGCTTGTATTTCCAGTAGTATTGGAGTTAACTCTATTAGTCGAGTGCTATATTTACACAAGGGTTTGATGATATCAACTCCGTATTTGATTCACCTCTGCTTTGTATAAACTTAGTGCAAGTTAGGGTTTCCTTAAGCATACACAATGTTTGCTGTAGCCATTTGAGTCTCGTTCTGTTTATACTAGGCACTTTTGAATTGTTTGGTTTGGGAGGTGGCGTGGAATTGGTTTGGTTTGTTCCTAAATGTTCTTGAATGTATTTGTAAAGTTTAGAGCAGAGAAATTGAGATCTGGAAGAGGAGGAAAAAGGTGGGAAATGCTGGTAATACTCAGCTGAATTCTATCGAATTAAAAATTGAAGTTACAGACTTCTGATATATATACAAAAAGAGTAAATGGTAAAAGACTAAAGTAACCCTGTACAAACTAACATATTACAAAGCTCAATACTCCCCCTCAAGATGGAGAGTATATATTGAGGATTCCCATCTTGCCAAGTAAAGATTTGAACCTAACACCAGCCAATGGTTTAGTTAGCAAATCAGCTAACTGATTCTGTGATGAAGTATGCAGCATCTTCACCTCTCCATCTTGCACTTTATCCCTTACAAGATGGCAATCAATTTCTATGTGCTTGGTCCTCTCATGGAACACCGGATTGTTGGCTATATGGATAGCTGATTGATTATCACAAAAAAGTAGAGCAGCCTTAATATGTTGAACCCCTAAATCTGTAAGGATATTCTTTAACCAACTGATTTCACAAACTGCAGCAGCCATTGACCTGTATTCCGCCTCAGCTGATGATCTCGATACAGTGTGTTGTTTCTTGGATTTCCAGGACACCAGTGAATCTCCAAGAAAAATGCAGTAGCCAGTGACTGAACGCCTCGTATCCGGACAAGCAGCCCAGTCTGCATCACAAAATCCTTTAAGTTGTAGATCAGATTTTGCATCAAAAAACAATCCTTGCCCAGCTGTTCCTTTCAAGTATCGCAGAACATGATGAGCAGCATCCAAATGAGGACGTTTTGGTGACTCAAGATACTGGCTTAGAACTTGTACTGGATAAGAAAGGTCAGGCCTTGTAATGGCCAAATATAACAACCTGCCTACGAGCCTTCTATACATACTTGGCTCACTGATGTCTTCTCCTGTATTTTTGCTCAATTTAATACTATGAGGCAAAGGACTTTTAGCAGGTTTTGCTCCAAGGAAGCCAGAATCCATAAGAATTTCTAATGCATATTTTCGTTGGCAGATCGATATTCCCTGTGAGGTCCTTGCAACCTCAAGTCCCAAAAAGTATTTCAGAACACCCAAATCCTTAAGCTTGAACTGATTATTCAAACTCTCCTTGAAGCTGTTAATGTAAGACAAATCATTGCCTCCTATAATGATATCATCCACGTAGATAAGTAGGATGGTAAATGAACAGCCACTTTGTTTGCTAAAAAAAGAATAGTCAGACTTCGATTGTTGAAATCCCTGTGAGACAATATAGGCAGTAAGCTTAGTATTCCATTGCCTTGATGCTTGTTTAAGTCCGTAAATTGACTTGTTCAATCTGCAATCAAGCCTCTTTCCTTTCTTCCCCTGCTGTTCATAACCCGGAGGCATATTCATATAGACTTCCTCTTCCAAATCTCCATGAAGAAAGGCATTATTGATGTCCAGTTGGTGAAGATGCCATTGACGATGAGCAGCAACCGCAAGAAGAGTCTTAACGGTGGCTAATTTTGCAACGGGAGAAAAGGTTTCCTCATAATCCAAACCGGCCTGCTGAGTGAAGCCTTTAGCTACCAACCTTGCTTTCTTCCTTTCCTCTGTGCCATCTGACTTCAACTTTACTTTGAAAACCCACTTACAATCGACAGGTTTCTTGCAAGGTGGAAGCTCAGTAACAGACCATGTATTATTGGATACCAATGCCTGAAACTCTGCATCCATGGCTTTACACCAATCTGGAGAGTGAGAAGCCTCAGCAAAAGACTTAGGCTCAGAGATAGTGGATAAGGCCAAAGCATAAGTTCTCTGTGCAGGAGATAACTGACTATAATCCAGCCAATCTGAGATAGGATACTGAGTTCCAGAATCAACCCCTTTCTTCATGGAATCTGACTGGGAAGTAGGAATCTGAGTCACCAAGTTGCAATGGTAATCATGAAGATAAGAAGGGACTCTTTTTGGTCTATCAGACTTTCTGGTAGGAATAGCTGATGAGTGAAGTATAGGTGTAGTATTTTCAGAAGTGGTGACAACAGGTATATCTGTGGATATAAACTCAGATGAATGAGATTCCTCACTCTGAGGGAATGACAATGGAAATGAAAGAGGATCTGAAGGATGAGAATTGGATGACAGAGGAGTGTAAGAGTCAGGGTGAGAAGGAATGTATGAGGGTATATCGGTGAATTGATGAGAAGGACTAGGAAAGAGAGAATGATTCTGAAATGTAGAATCACTAAAGGAGAGAACAGATTTCAAGAAGGAAGGATGATGAAAAGGAAAAATGTTTTCATGAAATATAACATCCCTAGAAATGAAAGTGGAATTGGTCTGAATATTGTACAATTTATAGGCCTTCATGCCATAAGGGTAGCCAAGGAAGACACAGGGGATAGCTCTTGGATCAAATTTTGAACGGTTTCGTTTAAGTGTTGAGGCATAACATAAGCACCCAAACACTCTAAGATGAGCATAAGATGCTTTTGTCTGATATAATATCTCAAATGGTGACCTGTTATTGAGGATTTTGGTGGGAGTTCTATTTATGATATGTGTGGCAGTCAATATACAGTCTCCCCAGAATTTGTGAGGCAATTTTGCTTGAAATTTGATGGCCCTAGCTATGTTGAGAATATGTTGGTGCTTCCTTTCAACCACCCCATTCTGCTGTGGGGTTTCGACACAACTCATTTGATGAATGACACCATTGTTTTGATAAAAGTCATTCATAAGGAACTCAGATCCATTATCTGATCTGAGGAACTTGATTTTGTAATTGAAATGTGTTTGAGCTAGCTGAAAAAATGAATGAATGATTGGCCTGGTTTGGGATTTGTCTTTCATAAGATAGGTCCAAGTCATACGGCTATAATCATCAACGATGGTTAAAAAATACTTAGAACCATCAATGGCAGGAACAGAGAAGGGACCCCATATGTCACAGTGAATGAGTTCAAATACCCTGGAGGATTTCGTTTTACTAATTTGAAATGGCAACCTATGTTGCTTAGCCATGGGGCAAACTGAACAATGCAAGTGTTCATTAAAGGTAATAGTAGGATTTGATTTATGTAAAAAGGATAACTGAGACACTGGGATATGACCCAAACGACAATGCCAAATGTCTATATTCATATTGGCCAAATTGTTAACAGAGGTACAAGCAACAGAATCCAGATTATTACAATTTTGAAATGATATGAAACGATTATTTAAACTATGAGCAGAGGCAGAACTGGAAGGAGAGCTTGAAGACTTTAGAGATTGACCATTGCACTGGTGTTCAGGATGTTGAAAATGGTATAAACCACCTTCAAGCTTGCCTACCCCAATCGTCATCCACGTTGAAAGAGCCTGAACAAAACAGCAGTTATGAAGAAATATCAGACAACACTGATGCTTAATTATCAATTTGCTAGCAGAAATCAAATTGAACTTAAAACTTAGTACAACTAAAACATCAGTCAAAGTGAGATTAGACGATATGTTCACATTGCCAGTATGTGTCACAGCAGCCAAACTACCATCAGGTAAACGAACTGATGCATTACTAACTCCAGTAATTTCGGTTAAATGTTTGATAGAACAAACCATATGCTCAGAGGCACCAGTGTCAATTATCCATGTGCCTGCAGGCGTGGTACGATTACCTGATAAAGCAAAAGCATCAGATGTAGAAGATGAGGTAGAAACTACATCCTTGAGCTGTTGATTAGATCCTGAAATCTGTCCTTGGAGCTGTGGTGCCAATAGTGCAATGATTTTTTGACATTGCTCTGAAGTGATAGTAACATTTGATAATGAATTTGTTATGTCAGAATCCATAACACAAGATGCCTGACTAGCAGCATTAGCAACTGGATTTCTGTCTTTGGCAAATCTGTGACCAGGAGGATATCCAATTAACTTGTAGCATTTTCCCTTAATATGCCCAGGCATTCCACAATAACTACAAACAATCCTTTCCCTTCGTTGTGGCTGATTCTGAAAAGGAGTTCTCTGATTGCCTAAAAATTTAGGCATCAACCTGCTGGTGAAAGCAGCAGCATCAGTAATGCTAACTTGCTTTTTGCTTACAATTTCCCTTTGCCTTTCTTCCTGCAACACTAGAGCAAAAACTCTATTAAGAGGAGGTATAGGATCCATTAATAAAATCTGACTTCTCACACTAGAAAATTGGTCGTCTAATCCCATCAAAAACTGCATGGTCTGATCCTCAGATTTGTAACTGTTATTGTTGATTTCAGGTCTGTAATTCTCCAATTCTTCCAAAAACCCTTTGAATCTATTAAAATAGGAATTAATAGAATTATTTCCCTGAGAAATCGAAGCAATTTGCTTCTTGAGTTCATAAATTCGAGGACCATTGCTTTGATTATATCTATCCCTAAGCTCGATCCAGATCTGCCTGGCTGAGTCCTTATGCATCACGCTAGGATATAACTCCTTAGGAATCGAGTTAATGATCTATGAAGACACAATATGATTGCATCTTCTCCACGAACTATAGAGAGGATCGTCTGATGAAGGTTTAGTAATGGATCCATCA